TGGAAAAACAAAATGCATCAAACAACTCTTATAATAATAATAAAGGCCATTGAAATAAAATAGTGGGGGGCACGGTGTATAGATATAGATATAGAGATATAGAGATCATATCGGAGTATGGGGGTAGGGGTGGGGGTGGCCGGTGGGGGTGGGATGGGGGGTGACGGAGATGGCAATGAAGAAATATGTAGGTGAAGTGCGTCACATGCATATAAATAAATTAAATATGGGTGACGAGAGAAAACAACACTACCGAGAAAAAGGAAATAAATAAATTAAAGAAGGTAGAAAGCGATGATCAGATATTATATATACTGGCCGGCTGTTTTTTTCTTTCTTTTTTTTTTTTTTTTTTTTTTGTCAAAACCAGAAACAAACGGATTTTTGAAAAGCACAATATGCAAATTGCAAAGATATCCCACCGCATCTTTTTGTAATATAAATATTTCTAATGGGATAAATATATTTTTAGTCCCTTGAGTTTAACTCGATTTCATATTCGGTCCTTCTTGTTAACCAAAACCCGTTTTATTCCATTTTATTTTATAATCTGAACATTTTTAGTCATTTTCGTTAATGTTTCGTTCAGTACTAACCTATGTAGCACGAAAACTTCAACTTCGTTTCCGTCACTTGAGGACAGATAGCTTGTAATTTCTGAGTGATTTTAAAAAAAAAAAATTGTTGTTATTTAGCTTCCCTAATTATTTACATGATTTAATGATGAATCTCAAATTGATAGTTGGTAATACTATTTATTTCAAATAAACATGTATCAAAATATATATAAAAAATAATTACATATAAATAAAAACCTTATATATGTCTACAAAACATATTTATAAATATGCCTTCATACTTTTAATATTTACACGTTTCTCTCAAGTTCTCGTATTCTCATTTTTGGGACATGTCGTTTCCGTGTCCGTGCTACAGCCTACATAGATACTAACAGGATAATGGTAAATTGATGGAAATGACTAAAAATGCTAAATTAAAATCTTCTTTTTTTTTTGAATAAAGGGGACCAAATACGGAATAGAAGTAAACTTGAGGGGTGAGAAAAGCATTTTTCTAATTTAAAATGGTTGTAATAAGTAATAAATTCGTGAACGTGTGGTTTGTGAGGGACCAGAGCATTAGTAGCGTTAGGCGGTAGCTACACTTTATCAATTTGGCCTTGATGCCCTCTTATATACATATATATATATATATATATATATATATGTATATATTACGTTTTTCTATATATGAATTCAATATTGCTAAAATTTTATCAAATATACTAGTACTTCACATGTTATTTTTATTTCTTGCAAATACTATATATTTGTATGAGTTAAATTATTGAGTGTCGCAACAATTTGTAACATGGTTCGTATACAAACGTATCATAATATATGGGTGGCTACAAACAAGAATTTACTAATTTCAGTATTATTACACGTACAATAATAGTACTTCTTTAAAGCTATATTAGACTCCATGTTTGTTGATGCAATTCTTGTAAATACTCGAAATTGTGATCTTCAATTTGCAATATGTCCACCATTCTGCACAACTGAACACCCTTTAACGCTGAATCTCTTCCATCGCCGGAGTGATCTCCTCCCGAGATCTTTTAAGCCCCACTCCAGTATAACCGATCTTCCTTTTACTAAACCAAAAAACGAGAGTAGAAATATATTTTTCGAAAAAATGGAAGCAACAAAACGAGAGCTCAGATGATTCTCTAAAAAAAGCCTCACGAATACTATATTATCATGACAAATCATATCTTGACAACCAAACGAAACAATATTCGACGTAACATTGATAGTTAGTTGTATATATTTTTGTAATGAGGATACCATAAAACTACCCTTAAATGAATTACTAATATATATGCCCCGCGTAAATTAATGGCATAATCAACAACAGCTGGCCAAGAATAAACTTGTTGCATACCAGCTCAAAATGTGGCAGACCAATTTCTCAAATTAGACAGCATTAAAAATGTTTATTTCTTTGATTCTTACATTTATATCTAACCATTAAACACAAAGACACACACACACACACACTAAATCAATGAGTTCCTGCATGGTTTAGTGATTCATTTATTTCCTAATAAATGAATCAGTTCCAGAAAAGGAAAAATAACAGACAAATTATGTGAAGTGGGAATGTAATTTGTTTTTTTTTACTCCCATATATATATATATATATATATATATAAAAGAAATGAAGAGTTGTACCTACTGCTGTGCTGTGTGGTCACCACTCTCTTTAATTATATTTGGTTTGTAGGGTTGATTGCATTTTTTTTTTATGTTTTGTTAATTTATCGTATTATTTTTACTAGCAACCATTTATAATTCAATTGTTTTTTGTCAAATATAAAAAAATTATAGGATAAAGTAATTTGTTGTTCAGGTGAAGGTAAAATACTAGGTTTGAATACTGGATTACTTTCCTCTGCTTGGCTAGGTGGTGAAATCTTGTCCAATTGTAATTAAGTTTTAGGGGAAATATGCAATACACCCCTTATTTAGAAAATATTTTGAACTAAACCCAATTGACTTTAAAGACTTTTCCCATAACCCACATTCCAATCTAAATTAGTGAGACCCCCTTACCAGCCATGATAAGACTAAAGTGCCCCTATGTGTTAGGTTTTTAATATAATACAATTTTATTTCTCCCTCAATTTCATTCTCTCGGTTCTCGCCTCTCTCTCTCTTTCATTCTCTCGCTATTTCTCTCTGTTTACAGCTTTTTTTTTTCTTTTTTTTTTTTTTTTTTCTTTTTCCTTCTTCTTCACATCTGTAGACCGCCGCCACTGGAGTCACCCTTCAAACGCCGCCGCCGAAACCCGTTGCAGGAGGCCCTTCTCCGCCGATGTTGGAGATTGTCTCCCCCCTCGTCGAACACCACCACATCGACGCCTGGTACAATTGGCGGCGGCGCCTCCCCCAGCTTGTCGCTGCCTCCGTCGGATTTCTATATGGAGATTTCTCTTCTCTCAACGCGGAATACCAATATATACTATATTAATTGGTAAATTTTATTTTTTATTTTTCTCGAATTAATTGTCGAACTAGCAATAGAATATGTTATGGATCTGGATTTTTAGTTCTATTATTTGTTTGTTATGAACGAATACATTGATTTTCAATTATTCATGATTTTATTAATTTTTGTGTTATTCTACATAGCCTGAATGTTTAGATCTGGAAAATCTATTGAATTACGAGATTAGTCGGTTGTGGTGCAATGTATTTTACAGAGTAGTCACGTTTGACAGAGTAGTCATGTTTAACAACTTAGTTATATTTTTTTATTTTTATTTTTTTGTGGTGCTGCATATGTTCAACAGTGTAGTCATATTTAACAGAGAAGATCAAACGGAAGATTAAGTGCAGTCGGTGCAACCGAGTTGGATACCGCAACAAAAAAACATGTTCGATGGCCATTGTTGAAGGATCACATTAGTTATTTTCGTTTTTTCATAGTCATTTTTTTTTCTTTTTGCAATGTATTTTGCTGTTAATATTGCAAGTTTTTTCAAGTGCTGATTACTTGTAGTCACATTACGCAGTTGCTAGTCACATAATAGTCATATTCCCACTATCATGTTCAGTATGTTATACAAACTGTACGTAGTCACATAATAGTCATATTCATGTTTCTACTGTCTGTTAATTATAATGTTTTACAAAGCACAGTCACATTCACATAGTAGTCATATTCTTACTGTTATATTAATAATTATGCTTCTACAATATGTTAATTACACTATTATACACAGCGTAGTCACATAATAGCCATATTCAACTATAGTCATATTCGTAGTTGTAAATCTGTCGAGAAAAAAAAAAATCAAATTTATGTTTAAAAAAAATTAAAAAAATATATTTTTTTATTAAAAAAATATTAAAAAATAATAAATAATAAAAAAGTGGCTATAAAATCCGAAAATAATACAAAAAAAAATCCTATTTTTTGATTCGGTAGCAATTTTTTAGAAATTTGGAAGTAGATTTTTAGGAATTAGATTATTGTTATGGAAAGAGTGAAAAAAGGAATAATTGAGACTAATTATGTTAATTGACATAAGGGTAGAATTGGAAATACAAATTCTAGGGGGTTATCACAAAGAAAGATTTAAGGGTTGGACATACACCATTTATTATCTATATGAGGGGTTTATTGCTAATGACCCCTAAGTTTTAAAATCATAAAAGATTTATAATTTTCATTTTAACTATTCATTTTAAAGAAGATTGTAGTTGTAGGATTGTAAGGAATATGGATGAAAGTCGGATGTATTGGATCGGAATAGACTTTTTGGAAAAATTTCCAGAAGAATCAGAAGTACAAAATCAATTATAATTCCAATTCCAATTTCAATTTCCGTATTTTTCAGAATTTTAAAATTCAATCCAATTCTAAAAGGCTCGAAAATTTCGGAATTCCGTATTTTTTTCGGAAATCACACAAGTTTTAAAATTTCAAAACTTAATGGAAATTTTCTAAAAATTTCATAAATTTCCAAACGTAAGAACATCCAAATCGATAAAAACAAAACTAATAACAACTAAATTTCAATTAAAAATAAATAAAAAATAAAATAAGCCACATCATAATATTCAATAAAACTTCTAACAACAATTCAACTTGTCAAAATCCTAAAACAAAACTTAAATCAAATTGTTGTTTAAGAATATAAAAAAAATGATATAATATATATTATCTATAGGTATATTTTTCGGAAAAAATCAGAATTCTTCGGAACTAATTTTGAAAATTAAATCGGATCGAAAATTTAAAATCCAATAAAAAAATCGGAATTCTGAATGAAAAAAGTTGTTTCAAAATCAGAACTTTTTAGATGGGAACCGGCAAAAATTGGAATTTTCGTTCCAACTTACACCCCTAGTACGGAATATTTCTGTCCGAGTGAAATATGCAGGCTAACAAAGAAGCAGACAAAATGAGTATTAAGACATTGGACATAGAATGCTTATTTGAGGCAAAATCAAGATCCAATCACAATGCAAGAACTATTAATTCCACAAGCAATATATTTACAACAAACGATAAAAGAGTTCCATTTTTCTTTCATTCTTCATTGTGAAAACTTCGGTACAAATAGGTTCGATTTGCCGTTTTCTAACCTTTTTACGGTTTCTCTCTCCTAAGTGAGGAAGACGAGCACAAATAGAATAATAAACAAAAGTAGTAAGAACAAGATCATCATCAATTGGCCCTTGGCACCAGCCTTCTTCATAATCATACCAACCTTTTTCTGCAGAATAAGAATCAAATACCATCAAAGACGATTAACTTAAATTTCTAAATTACGGAATTGACTTTTTAAGCATTAGAAGGAACCAACACACTCGTGAAATTCAAAGAATAAAAAATAAATAAAATAAAAATTACCTGAACAAAATCAAGACGATTTGATGTGCTGTCCATCTCCATACCTAGTTCGTCCATAATTTTCTCCTGGTATATAACAATTCAGATTGCATAATTCCCTCCGTAGAAAACGAAGGTTAAGAAATGTTCACAAATTTATTACTAATCAATTGTGTTGGGAAATATTTACCTGTGCAAGAAGTTCCTCGTGTATTGTGCGCCCAACACCTCCGATTACTTGCACACTGGCAGTGAGTTCATCCAGTTCTTCGTCCTGTTGCCTGCATCGGAGAATTCTTATCAGGAAAAAAAAATGTGGCCCTTCGTATATCTTTTTATAGAGATTGCCGTGAAAAAAGAATTATCGATACATAATATAATTTAGTTAGATTTCAATTACTTATATTCAACTTGGTTTTGAATTACATATATTGGGTTGATTTGATTGAGTTGGACTGATTAAAGAATTAAGCGTCCAAAAAAAAATCATCGGAAATTTTATATATAGAGAGTACAAAAAAATTTAAAATAATAAAAAAATAAAAAAATCACCTCATCAAAAGCATCTGCCTGTCAGATTCAGAGGATACAAAATCATCATTATCCCGACCACCGTAATAATTCGATTTATCTGGTTGATGAGAATTTGGCAGTCTCGAAAGTTCGCGATTCTTTTCGTTGAAATTAGAAGTGCTTGTGCCATTCAACTCCTTCCCATTTACTACTAATTTCTTCACGTTTTTAACCTATCGATGAAAACAGACACCCGAGTTTATTCAAACATCGTTCAACTAAAGAACAAAAACCAATCTATACTTTATAATTATAAGAACGCGAAAAGAATCAAATAGGAGCAATTAGAGACCAATATATCATCACTGTATAAAAGCGGATACCTGTTCACGAGCATTGCTAGTCCATCTTCTTCGTTTATCAAGCTCGACTTCATTAATTCCGTACAAAGCGGGATCCTTAGATGCAACGGCAATCGCCTTGTCCAATTCATCTACCTTCCTATCAGGAAATCAATTTTTCAGCGATGATATAAGAGAAACATATTACTTGTCAAAAAAATTCTGAAAGTAATCGAGACATTTATGCCAGCTGTTGTTATTACAACAAATATAGTCACTGTTTTAACCATTATACAACCTTAAATATTAAACCATCTAATATTAAATGACAATTTATTGACCATACCACGTGAAAGTTTTAAATATAAAGTCGTACCTGCCATTGAATGCTGTCACATCCAACATGAAGCTCCTTAGTGAGGCGTAGTTGCTCTCCACTATCTGAAGGCATTCGTTCCCATTTGTGAAAGGTGGAGAGCAACTTATCGATCTAATTCAATAAAGAATTGGTCGGTCAGATTCAAATTCAAGAATCGAGAATAACGTAATAAGATGCCAGCCAAGAATTTCTTTGGAGTTTGATAATGTGTGCAGTTCAGATAATTTTGACGGCAATATCATAGTATTAGCATGTGGTGTGTGTGTGTGTGTGTGCGCGTGTGTGTGTTTGTGTATACATATATACGAATTTGTTTGAATAGATCATATTTACATGCTATGTACTGCTCGACACATTTGAAACAATTCTAAGGTGGAGGCTCAAATCGAAACATACGACCATTTATATCAATGTAGCAAGCAAAATATTTCACTTACATGCAACCCATTAAATATTTAAGTAATCTAGAAAGCAATAATCGACAAGCTCAAGATTTTTAGAATATTTGTCGCTTCAATCACAGCGTCAATGCAACTAACCACAAAAAAACGCTATACTATTAACTTTTTAGTCGAACAACTTCGATTATTTCATCTGGTTTGGTTAATTGAGCACTCTACCTTAATGAACTATTGGAAAACAATTCATCACACTATCTCGACACAATTCAAAAATTCTGACCAAAAAAAAGTAATCGGTTTCATTTTCGTCTGCAGAACACTGTATAGTTCTTGGACAACCTAATGGATCGATAAGCATAGCTATGTGGTAACGTCCATAAAATTACCTATCACATTCTATATTTAGGCCTCGTTTGGTTGGGGAGATTAGGCATGATTAACTAAATACTTGGACTACTTGTCGGGTCGACCCGCAAATATTATGTCATCGTGCTCTATCTTGCTTTCTAGGCATGTTTTCTATAGGATCCAATAATATAATTGGGTTTTATTAGATTATTTAATCTAATCTTGGCAACCAAACGAGGTCTAAAAGACAAAAAGGCAATGGACTGCTGTAGAGTACGAAATCCAAACCCTAAAAGAGTTGAATTGTAATCAGAGACTTTGGTTGGGGGCAAATTGGGATCAATTCAAAACCCTAATCAACTTAAGAAAAATAAATCAAAAGCCAAAAAATAAATGAATGAATAAAAGCTTACAGAATCTTGAATCTCCTCTTTGACAATGTAAAAAGGGTCTTGAGCTGAAGACATTTGTATCCAGATTAACGCAGTAAAAAAAATATGTCGGAAATTGGAACCTGCGAAGCAAATAAAACATCAAGATCTAATCCTATGAATCGGAAACAGAATCCAGTAAAATACATACATACATATATATATATATATGAACATATAAAAAATAAGATGTGTGTGGAGTGTTTCGACGAGTGTTGGTACCTTGAGGAGAGAATGTGTGTGTAGATACCTACAGACGAACTAGTCGGGACGAAGTAGACAGACCGCCAAGGGTAAAACCGTCATTTTCAAGGGGTTATAAGTGTGAAGTGAGAGGTGGCCATCGGTCGGTTTTATAGGCCAACCGATCACTTTCGACCCGCTTCTTTTGGTCCATGTCGAGCCGGTAATCTTAACCGACCTATATATAAATGGGCCGGTCGGTGGTTTTCAATTTACTCAAAAGTTAGATGGTCGGGTAATATCGTTCATCCGACTTTTTTAATATTTTTTTTTTAATTATAAATATTTAATTGTATATTTTTTAATGTTGAAATAATATATAAAAAAAATATTGATTTTAAATTTAAGATTTTTACAACATAAATTTTCAAAAAAAAAAAATGAACATTTTTTGATTTTTTTTTAAACATCTTATTATTGTTTTAAAAAAAGGGTTAATATGCTGGAGGTCCCTCAAACAAAACGTTATTAGATATGGAATACGAGCCCAATATTTTGTTGGTAACTAAATCCCTCAGTATAAAAAATATATGATATAAGGGTTTTTTATTTTAAATATCCCAATATTACCCTTAATATTAACAGAACGTTTGTGTGACGTTTTAAAAAGTTACATCTTTTTAATAAATCACATTCCTTATAATTAGGGATCACGTATCAACCACGTCTATTGTGATTCTAACTGTATCTTAATATAATCTCATTAATATATCTCACGTAAGTGAAGAAGATCTCGTAGATAACAATATACAGTGTTAATATGCAAAACATTGAGCGTAGTATTTTCAGTTTCATCCTCAAGAATGTATTGTTTTCCATCATCGCATAACATTGGTTCTTCGTGCGTTGTTGGTTCGATGCCTTTCCGATTTTTTTTTTTGTTTTTTGTTTTGAAAAGGTGTTTACACTGCTACACGTGCTGAGTTTGATAATAGCATGGAGAATTTTTGAAAAATAGTGGCCCGAGAGTGAATAATTTCTTGCTAGATCCGCCATACGAAAATTGGGCTTCTTTCCGTTTTGTTGGCCAGGGATTTGGTGAGATGACTTCCAATTTAACAGAGTCTTGGTATTCGCAGATTAGCAAATATCGTGGACTACCTATTACGGAGATGATAAATGCCATTAGGAGTCTACTGATGTTGCAGATGTGCTTGAGGTACGACACTACTGTGCCTTGACCCATTGAACTTTGTCCTTTGGATGAAGAACGATTTGGTGTATTGGTACAGGAAAGTAGCACATGGTTACCAAGGAAAGCATCTGACTCGGAGTATGAGGTGTGAGTGAACCTGTTGTTGTGATTGACTTATGAAACATATCATGCTCATGCCGAATGTGGAAAATTTCGGGCTTCCCGTGGCTCGATGTGTAGTCGTTGCAACCAGATTAGAACTCACAACAAGAAGACATGCACAAGGGCTATTTAGTAGTTTTGATTTGGAGTATTTTTAGCCTTTTGAATTTGAGTGTAAGTTAAACAATACTGTTCTTTGGGTTTTTTTTCCAACACTTATGTTTGGGTAGTACTATTTTATTTCCGCATTGTGGTTTATTTTGCGATGTATGTTTTGTTTAAATTTTCCGGATTCACTTGTTTTACATAAGTTTTGTTTTGTTTTTCCTTTTAGGAATTACATATGAGCAATTACATAATTGCAAATTTTCAATAAACTTGTTATTGTTTCTCTATGCTATATGAGTTTGTGTGTATTTCATATATTTTTATGTTTTTTAAATATAAAATTACTGGAGTGTTTAATCAATATGGAATCATAGTCTATTAAGTATTCTGAAATCAATGTCCAGAACTGTATTTCTATAGGGATGGTGCACTTTAAATTGTGTAAATACAAAGTACTATAGTCATCTATAGGATACTGTTGATGAATACAGTATATCATAATATATTTGTAGATCAACAAAGAGATATTGCACACCAGGCTTGTTTAAGTACTTTGACATGATCTTCCACCACTGTATTCTTCCAGGATTTGTGCACTTTTATCACCAACTGCGTAAATACAAAGTATCTACAGTAATTTGTAGGATACCGTAGATGAATTCATTATGTCATAGTAAAACTATGGTTCAAAATTTGCGATATAGAATATCAGTCTGTGCCCAACATTTCTTAGTTGGTACATTTATTTCTTGTAAAACAGTGAATGAAACCAAATGTTAGACAATAACTATGTTGAACTATGACCAAAGGTCCTAATCCAAAATAAAACCAATAATATATAAATAAGACATAGTGTCAACAACGACGAACGTGTTTCGAATATTTTACCCAACAAACTAGAGTTAATAACCATAATTATGTTTACAGGCCAACAATTTAAATTTAATTTGCGCAAACGAAGTCGCGTACACGAGACAAAACAAAATAATACAACTACATTGCTCAAATGATCTTGTAATTCAAAAGATGCTATACAATGTTCTCTGTCTATAGGTCGAAAAAAACTCTACACACCCATTTTCCGTCCCAGTAACGGAGGCATTTGTGATTTTGTGATTTGCAAATGGTAATACGAGGCTGAAAATGGGGTTCTCTTCAGGCACTCTAGGTGAGCATTATTCAGCCGCACTTCTTCGAAGAAAGTCACAGTAGACGTCAAGTTAGACCTGAATTGAGATATGTAACCATCTTTATTTATCGTTCTTTGAGCAATATTCATGGCCTCTCTGTAAACATAAAAAATCATCTTTATTTGTCAACAAAAATAAATGTTTGGGGAAGATAAAAAAGTACATATACCATGTAATTGTAAAATCAATAGTTTTTTATTAAGAAATTCGAATATTCGTAATTGACAGAAAACCATAGAATATCACAGTACCCATAGTATACCACTGTACTACATAAATTATACATACAGTTAGACATACAAAACTCATTAGCAATAAACTAACAAATAAACAATATAGGCCAGCCTCTCAATTACACAGAGAATCATATAATAGGAACTGTTTCGTAGGTCAGTAACATATGATAGGTCAGCAAAAAAGAACAAATCGCACAACAATATAACTAAAGTAAATTTATACAATTGTCATTTCATAGACTGCTATAGATATACAATATCAATTCATAGACTACCATAGAGACTAGGGTTGACAACAAAATATCCAATCATAGACTCCCATAAAAATACAACATCAATTCATTATTACAAATGCATATAGAGCTCACATAGACAATTCATTAACAATAAACTTACGAATAAGCAAGATAGGCCAGCCTATCAATAACGTAACATAGACAATCATATAATTGCAAATGTTTAATAAGCCATCAACATAACTACCAGAAAATTTCTACAATTATCAGTTTATAGACTACCATAGAAATATAATTCTGTTTTTTACAGACTATCATAGAAATATACAGTCTGTGTACACCAACATTGCAGAATCCAGACTTCGATTGCCAAATACGAATTAAAAATTCAAAGCACAAAAACATTTACGCACGTTTACCCAAAGATTTGGACAACAACAAACAACGAAATATACATGTTTTGAATCGTACCTGCGTCTAGTGATTTTATGTCATGTTGCCCTTTCATCTGCATCTTCCCCTGCGTATTCGATTTTGTAAAAACCCTAATTTAAAAAAAAAACTAAAATCAAACAAAATCAAAACTTACTTGATCTGTTTCTTGGTGTAGCATCCGTAGACGTTAATGGCGCCAATAATTTGATTTTTATGATGCTATGAGGGTGCTCGCTGTCGATTTGCAGTAGAGAACGAGAGAAAAGATACCCTAGTCTGGGGGAGAGAGGGGCGGGTGGGATGGATTATGATACGGTTAATGTGAGATTTGGAAAAATAGAATCTCACAGATTTAATGGCGAGATTGGTGGGATTTAATTTCCTTTTCCCAAACTTAAAAAATAAACGGCGTTTATTTCACCGTAAGGGTAATATAGACACAATTTCTCAAAAGGATGTGAGACTAATGTTTTTATAGGCTTGGGTGTGTCATCTAATAAGTTTTTCCACTAGGGATGCATATCTTAAAGCCCCATTTAAATAGTTGGCCGACAATACCAATCAACGACCTATTATTTATCCGACAAAGTCGCTTGATAACCATTAGCCGACCCATAATGACCGGGCTGGTAATAATTTTCAATTTTCAGCAAAATCGGATGATCGGATCAGGTAGATAATCGACCGATAATTGTCTGACCAAATCCATGCCCAACCCTACATTGAGGTATATTTTTTTGGATTATTAGTGATACCCCCTACTTATCAATTAAATTTAATATTTCGCAAAGTTCTTCATGGTATGCCTAATTTATCTCTATTCTTCGTTTTCTATTTTTTCTATTATTTCTCTCTCGCTCCAATTCTTGTTTTTATTTTCACACCTCCTCTTAGTTGCCGCCCTCGTCGCCGCTCCTCCACAACCACCTCATCTACGTTTGTTCACTCCCATTCTCTATAGTTCTTCGATTCATCATAAACGTTCATCTAAATTAAGTCAGTGAAGTACAAAAACGGTACGTTGTTCGTAGCTCAGCCCGGAGGAGAATAGAGGTGTCGTCTTTTGTATTGGCAGCTCGAGGAGAAGCACGCTAATTCTCTCAATTGACAACTTCCCCTTCATTGATATTAGAACAAATTAGAAATCATACCGTGGTAAGATGACCCGTAGGGAATTATGTACTTTCTTGATTACCTAACAACAACCGCCCTTATTGTTAATTCCATAAGGAATATCAGTACAGATAACTGCTAGAATTTATTAGACGAGCTGAAAAAAGGTTGGCCCGTCAGGTTTTCATACCCGAATACGTAATAGAAGAGAAACGAATTTTAAAACGAGCCAAAATGTGAATCAAGTGGAACCCAACAATCAACCACCACATAGAGATCTGATATGTTAACATGATTGTAGGAGGTCGAATAGTAACAATCCAAGCGCGAGAAGAAACAATTTAAAGACGATTCGTAACAAAAAGATTCACCATGTTATTTTAGAGAAATCTTCCACGCCTAGTATCTAGTTCAGCCCGTAGGCTTATCCAGTTCACCATGTTAACTCTGCT